ATCGTGGATTCGCTCTAAAAGGATAGATGAACAAATAAGGAAGTAGTGAATAAAAACGGTTTTCAGGGAAATTATGACACATTCTTCAGTTATGCCCACTTTTAGAGAGAAAGTTGACCCATGATCTAGATCGGGTTTCTACAAAATAATGTGTTCATGTGGTCGCTTTTATGTTCAAGAGACTTATCGTTCCATTCGACAGAGGGTAGCTGAGCACAGGGCAGAAACGGGACACGAGAGTGAATGGTCTCAAACTTCTCGTCTTTTTGATTATGGCATGTCTGCGGCAAAACGTAAAATTAGAGAAGACATCGAAATAAACCGAATAGGAAATATATTGAATGTAAGGAATGCCGAAAGGAAGATAAGTAAAAATTATCTGTGCTTAATTAAGACTCAAGGATAAAGAGCCGCCTGCAAAAAGGAGACGACGCAACAAGTCTTTTATTGTCTTGGTTCTAATCAGAGCCATTTCTCTGTACTTTTAGTTCACTCTTTCACTCTCGTATTGAGACAAAAAACAAAAAATAGGCTAATCAACAAAGCCAGACGTGTGTTTGACCTTGCGCAATCAGAGTGATGGTTATAATATGTATGTAGAAAGGAGATAGTGGTCATCAAAACTTGATGGCCGAGGGCAAACGTTAATTTTGCTGTCCTAATTAATTTGAGCCATCACTGCTGATTTCGCGCATAAGCGAACACAAACAGGCACATAAACATACAGAGACCGACGCACTCACAGGCCTCGAGGTTAATATATAACTGGAACTAATCAAATCAAACCTGATCAAAGAGGCCAGATAATGGGTATATATACCGATTTTTAGGGTTTCGCCAGTACGTTTTCTTGACTCGAAAGCTTGATTCTGGTTTTGATGATTTTCGTCATATGACGGACGAAAGCTTAGCACCTTTTCATTGGAATCAAAATAGATTATCTCGGAAACAGTGTCACCATTAATGTTCTCGTAAAGGCAATCGACAGTTGATCATGATGAATCCGCCGTCGTCTTCAGGCGGAATCGACCTTCGAATCACTTCACCAAACACTTTCACTCGAAATGGAAGTAAGCTCAACAATTATAAAATAAGAGATTCCTCGAAACCTAACCTTTCTTAGCAGTTAGCACAATCCCAGTAATTCAATGGAGACAAAAATAATCCTAGAGTACTAGGCAAAACTCTACAAATTGGCTAAGTTAATAGGATAAGAGCAGTCTTAGAGAGAATTCTGAGAGTAAAAGACATCTTGTTTTTACAACTTTTTCTAAAAACAACCTACAAACTAGTTCAATAGCCTGTCTGCAAAAAAAACAAGTAAAATAATACTTTAATTGTAATGGCCGGGATATTGGTTACCTTCAAATGTTTCAAGCCAACAATAGGCACTCGATCACAGCCTGTGAGAAACCGAAGGAATTTCTTTTTGTCCTCCAAATTACAGTCATTGAAGAAAACGTCCCAGAACCATTCTATTATTGGATGGCGATCCCAATATTCGCCTTGATATGAGGTGTTACGCCGCAGCTCACTCCAGTCAGTTACTTCAGAGCCGACAACGAGAGCCTTGAATGAAAGGGCATATAAGATGAATGGGAATTATCCTAATATGCCACACATAAGAATCATTAGAGTTCTCCAAATGGAGCACCTTTATAAATGATAGACGGAAGGAACTTGGTGGCATAGAAAAAGCCTGACGTAGAAATAAATGAGTGAGTTGAACCATTAGTAGGAAATTCTAACAAAAAACCAAAATAAATGTTTGAAGTATGGACAGGACCAAGTAAACGGTCTGATGCTAGAAATCCTCATAAATACTATGATAGGGGACACAGAACTAGGTTCATCCTACAAGGTCACTCTGCCACTCCGACCAAGTTGGAAAGACAAGGTCAAGCCAACACTATACAGCGAACGTAAGCTTAGACCAAACAAAAGGCCACACCATCTTTGACTTCATATCTAAGAAAATTAAATGATCGAAACTAAAGGACTTAGTGAATACATAACCATTATTTCTTCCCCTTAACGAAATAAGGTGAATGCAGCTCTTATTAAGATAAAGATGTTTGCATGCTAAATTGATGTTGATTGGATGAAAGACTTTAAGATAAGAAATGAGCATAGGAAAGTGCATAGTGACATGCGATAAAATTCGAGCAGTCTGAGCTAAAGAAATGAAAATTTTGAGGAAGAGGAAGTGCAGAGGCCAAAATAACCAATTTATACACAAATTGCAAAATAATAAATGTCTTTTAGAAAAAATAAGTATAAAGCGAAAAATATCCTGAAATAATTAGGATGGTGGATTTTTTGTAAAAAAATAAAATGAAAGACGTCATATTAAATCCAGACAGTTACAAATGAATAAGTCATCATAACAATGCTATCTTAAGGGATTCATATACAGATTTCTACACATTATATAAATACATATATAAAGCTAAAGCGAAAACCTGTAAAATTGTTACATGACGCATACAGTTTTAGATGAAAACGAAACTTTCCAGTTGTCAATTTGAAATAATACAAACAGAACATTTAAAGCGTTGCTGCTTAGTGCCTTGTCTATGACTTAAATCATCTGAATGGATTCAGTGACTGTCCTTGCGTCCTTCGGATTTTTCTTCTCTGCTTTATGAGACCACTCTACTTAAGAAAGGCTCTCATATGGCATTTGTGAGACTGGACACCGTACTGATAAAGTATGCATTAGTCAATGCTACAGCGAAATATACCCATAGTAACTACAAGCCAGAATAATAAAAAATACACGAAGGTGCAAATTTGAGTATCCTTCAACGCTTCGAATATTATTTTTTTGCAGATACGAAGAGTAACTGAGTTTCGTTGAATCTCCTGAGATAGCATTGTTGGGGAGACCTTCATTTCGTATAAAAATGCATGGAGAAGAGAATCATGGGCTAATCTCACCAGAAGTCAACGGCTGAATCCCGTTGTACTGCAGCCATATGGCTTTAATACGACGTCCAGGTTGACGCAGTTCAGAGAGGATGCCTCATAGACTGTTAACCTGAATGTCAACCTGCAAGCAAACAGATATAGTATAATGGAATTCAGTCGTCGTCTTCTAGTGAGATCAACCTAGTAATCTATTAACCATGCACTTTCATACGAAATAACGACCTCCCAAACAATGTTACCTGAAAAGATTAATGAAAACCCAGTTACACCTCATATCTACAATGTATATATGATTCAACTTGTCCATTTTCATCTTGCTACATTATAACTAAGAAAACTGGTTTGGCAAGTCAATATAATTATATTTTTTAAAAGTAAATATTTTTCAAAATATTGTTCCTAGATGTTGTTTACTTGACACTTTAATCTACCTAAATCCCAAAATAGGAAATTTGATCACAAATCGTATGGTTTGGTTAAAACAAGGCTCAATGAAAGCACGAAGTAAATAAAACCAAAAACAGACTTAAACAATCCTTTTCTGAGTACATCTACTGTAGCCTGTAGTTGACGCTGTTTTCGGGACACATTTTCACAGGAACCGAATGAGATTGCCCTGGAGACAGTGTCAACAAGAATTGACCTTCGAATCCCTTCACCAAACACTTTCACGCGAAATGTAAGTAAACTCAACAATTATATAATAGCTTTATTTAGGCTAAATAATGGTTTAATTGACTTATTTTTTTATTTATAGGATCACATTGCTAGGTTGCATGCTCCAAATTATTATTTGTTTGCTTAGCCTATATTTGTGATAATGTAAATTAGCAAATGCTAGGTATAAATAAAAATTGAAGATATGAAGACCAAGATGTTGTGGCCTCTGTTAGGGTCTTTAGGGTTCTATAAATAAAAGTTACCAAGCATTGCGCTCAACACAAACAAGGAAAATCTCCATCACCTCATTTTCTGACCATGTAGAGAAAATTGGGTCAAATGATGCAGTGTTTACTCTAATTCAGAAAATGTTTATGGAGGAAACTTTAATATCTCATATAAATAATTATTAAAAGTCTAGTCCGTCGATAGGTTAGGCATATCCCGAAATCCTGCTTATAAACGAAAATATCTTTTTTTTATTTCTAGTCAAAAGGCAATAATCGAAGATATGAAGAACAAGATGGTGCGGCCTTTGGTATGGTCGCAGTTTTCTTTCGATGTATAGAAGTTGCTTGATGCCGTTTTTGCAACTTGGTAATGTTGTCAGAGCGACTTAGTTGGACGCACTTTGTCCGCTGCTCAGAGAGAGGGGCAATGTGAATAGCAGGTGTGATGACGCCACACTAAGCTTGCCAAAAAGGACACATCTTTTGAGAA